TATATCAAGTGGTTTATTTTCTTTTCTTACTCATACATGAATGATGAAAGTGAAGCTAAATGCCTATACCACATTCAGGGCATAGTACATTCTGCCTGCATTTTCTGTGTTCAGTAATGGGTATTGGCAAAAGAAATTAGCAGCCATGTGAATGCTTTCAGTTTTCATTGCACCCTGTAGCACCATAAATCCTTTGTTTTGTCTCCACTGAAGTATCTCAAACAAAAACAGAATTTTCTAATTAACTCACCGGAGACTTATAAGGATATAATGGAGATAACTTGTTCTTGGTTTGTCCCTTAAAAGTAATTAAACAAAAGTTCTTTGTTTAGAAATAGATCAGAGTTCAATATATACTTTTAAAGTTATGTTTTTGGTATTTTGCTAGGACCAGTAGTTGAAAACTTAAGTCTCTGAGGGGCAGTTTGGAGGGGGGGTGGCTTTAAAATTTATCAGTATTAAAGTTCATTTAAGTACTATTTTCTGAAGACAGATACAGAAAGCAAGTGAGAAATTTTGCAACTGTTCAGTAAAGGAAAGCTGTTTAAATATCTCTTATCCTCTACTCCAATTTTCCAAATATCTTGTAAAAACCACATCTTAAGAGTTTTAATATTTATTTTAGCAAAATATAGGACAATTTGATGTATGCTTTGTACTAGTAATATATTACCTATAAAGTTTCAACTTCAGTTAATTTCATTAGCTATGTTATCATTTAGTTTATCACAAAATTAGATAATTACTCAGAAAAAGGTTTGCTAACTTAAAATTAGATAGTAAACTGAAAAAAGTGCCGAAATATAAACTTCTACTATTCAGTTAAGTTATGTAAATTATGGAATTAAACTTGCATGTTTTTTCAAGTTGCAATTTTCTTAATTCCCTAATTGGCAAGAGAAGTACAAGAGCTCTTTGAGACTTAATTGTATTCATAATGAACCAATATTCTTGCGACATTTGATTTGCAAAATTTTGATTGAATTCAAATTTAACAAAATGAAATAAGTCAAGTAAAACTCCTAGACTACAATGACAGCTATGTTCCTTAGAAAGTAGAATCTCTGCCATAAGAAAAACCTAAATTTCATGATCTCCAAATATTTTTGTGCCTTATTGGTATATAAGCCTATTTATATATGTGAAAGTATCATAAGTATTCATATTTTAATCATCAAACATCTTTTCCATAATGTAACATTGTTCCCATTACTCAGATAAAAGTCTAAGGGGGAGGCAAGTTGGTCTGCACAGCGAGACTTAAAGCCTAGTCCTTGTCTCCTAGTCCTTGTCTCCTAGTCCTTGTCTCCTAGTCCTTGTCTCCTAGTCCTTGTCGTCTCCTAGTCCTTGTCTCCTAGTCCTTGTCTCCTAGTCCAAATGAGGCCTTAGTTTAGTTGAAAAGGTTCTATTAGCAGTGACACAGCATGGGGTGTTTCTCACCACATGGTGCCCAGCTCAGCCTTCCTGACATCATATGAGAACTTAGAAGTTCAAATTCTTGGGGCCGAGGAGCTAGCTCAGTAGAATAAGTGCTTACCTGGCAAGTGGAAGGGCCTGAGTTCAATCCCCCTGTTCTGCCAAAAAAAAAAAAAAAAAATTCTTGGGCCCCCACCCATAAAGATCAGGATCCATGGAAGGTAAGGCCCAGACATCTATATTTTATCAAGATTTCCAATGGATTCTAATGGGCCCTAAAGCTTGAGAATAAATGGTACAGAGTTTTGTTTTTCTCTGGCTCAGTTTAATGTCACACGCAGAGCAATCTCACAGTGTCTAGGGTTTGTTTGTCTTGGGGGATGGAGTTTGGGTTTTGTTGGTTTGCGGCACTGGGCCAGAAACGGGACTTCACTCAAGCAAATCCTCCACAACTGGTCTACATTCCCAGCTATGTCATCAATTTTGAGTAAGGGTTTATTGGGGTATATAAAAAAGACCAGCCGTTACTGAGTGCTTACTACATAGCAAGTATTGTTCTATGTGCTTTCGCTCCTTGAGTCATCAAACAGGCCCTGTGAGATGGGTCTCCCTGCTCCTCACGGAGGCATGGAGCGCTGGGGTGATCTCCTGGCGTCTCTAGGAGATGCGGGGTGGTGTGTCGCTTACATTCTTGTTGCTGAGGCGTAGCACCTGACACCCACAGCTCTCAGGAGGAAAGGCTTGACTCACAGTTGCTGAAGACGCCGACCATAGTCAGCACAGTCCACGGCAGAAGGGCGAAGAGAGGAGACAGAGCCCATGGCAGAGTGGCTGGAGCAGAGAGAGCAAACGAGACAGAAGAGGGAGGCGGAACCTTCCAGCCACGCCCCCGCCCTTTACCCCCTCGCTCAGCCAGGCTTTACCTCACACATATTCAGCTATAAAGCTATCAGTGGATCCCCTCGTGATCCCATAACCTCCTAAAAGCTCCCTCATGAGCGCATGAGGCTCTGGGGGGACATCTATACATAAACCACAACAGATAAGCACCAGGAAGAGGGGGAACTTGAGAACGCATGCCCTTCGGCATTCCATACACCGTAGGACCTCAGGACTCGTGCATCTAGCAAGTACTCATTAACGGAACGCTGTGCGATGCAACCAGGAGTGCAGCAAGCTTTGGAGTTGCATGCCTAGAGTGGGATCAACCAGTCACTCAATCAAAATGCCTTTCATGGGGCTGGCGAGATAGCTCAGCAGACTAAAGCACCTGCTTAGGCACGCTTAGGCAAGCACAGGGACCGCGGTTCAATCCCCAGAACCACATGCCACGCCAGCCCCTCCCCCAGGGCAGGTTGAGCCAACCAGAGTTTAGTCGCAGTGGCGCGCACCTGTAATCCCAGCACTGAGGAGGCTGAAAGCTGGAGGATCCCCAGGAGTCAGAGCTGCCTACTGAGGCCCTCTAACAATGAAATACATTTTTTTTTTAAAGTGCATTTCACTGCGTGGCAAGCACCAAGTCCTGAGTTCGATTTACAATACCTCTCCCCCAAAAGAAATTTCAATTATAGATGAGACTCTAGGCAAATTGTTTCTGAACTCCAAATGTGTGTTTGTGGCCTAGTAAGTTGAAATGTTTCTTTAAGGTTTGTTTTCCCGAAATAGTCTTCTGCCCCAGGCTTACATGGAACATGAAATACTACAGAAAAAAACATGCTGCGAGATTATTATGCCATAAAAATTTATAAAGAGGTAGCAAAATATAAGGAATCTAGCTGGAATTTTTCCATACTATGTTCCCATTAACAATGATATATTTTTATTTCACTGTGGCCAGGTGTTTTCATTCTGTAGTTTCCGTGTTCTGAAAAACACTTTTCCATCGAGGAGAGCAAAGGCTCAAATACTTTACCAAAAATAAATCAGTTTATGTCAAAATATGGCTGTACTCAAGAAGGAAGAAGGCCTTCAATAGCCTCCTACTCTTGTTTGTGTTTTATTTTATGTACACAACCACCATAGTGTCCCTTTAAAATCTAGAAAAGACAACAACTCTTGTTGCATAGGTCCTGCTTTACCTTGGTCTTAACCATCCAGCAGAAAAGTATAAAAACGAAATATAAGAAGTAAAGCCATGCTGTTATGTTGAGCTGTAGGGGACTCAGGTCAACAATTTCTGACATTGCCAGTGAAGCAGAAGACCCAATACTATTATGGGCTACTGGACTCTTTTAGAATGTTTTACTGAGTTTACACGCTTACAATATTCAAATAACAGAACTAAATAAGAAAAGGGGATACAGATGAATGTCCATTTTGTATCTGTGTATTCAAAGTGGTTAGGATAGATATATAGTTACATTCTCTTAATGAATAGAGGGATTTGTTCTAATGGTGTTTGTAAATAGGATATCATGTCCGCATCTTATACAGCAATTAACCCCTAGGAAGAATGTAGGCAATGTGTTAATTATTGAAACTGTCCTACTAATTTGGTTTGAAACTGTCTCATTGCTATTTGTTTCTCAAAATTATGGAAAAAAATAAAAATAAAAAATAAAATCTAGAAAAGACAGAGAATAGGAAGTAAGGAGAGAGGTTTTTCCCAAATGGAAAGGTGATCGAGAGACAGAAGGAAGGGCTAGCCAGATAGCTCAGTGGACTAAAGCTGCAGGGACCAGGGTTCAATCACTGGCATGTTGTGCTGGCCTCACCCCTGAAGCATGCTTAGTTGGCGATTGAGATGGCGTGGTGGCACGTGCCTGTAATCCCAGCGCTTGGGAGGCTGAAAACAGGAGGATCACTACGAGTCCAATCTATGTGGTGAGACCATGCAGTCCCTTTACTAAATACATAAAACATAAAAAAGAGATAGAAGGAAAGGGAATGAAAGAAGAATTAAGATGTGTTTTGTGCATGTACTAACTCCCCATAAGGAACAGAATCATGATGGACTGCAAACATGTACTAATAAAAAATAAAAACTGGAAAAAGTATGTATCTGTAAGTCCAAATTGTTTCTCCAATTATTTCTCTCAGTAGAGGTTTCTCACTGCACTTACAGTGTTGTCGTTGCCTGTAAGGGAGAGGCCTCGGGTCCCCTCCCCTGGTCCAGTCCTCCTGCCCACACTCCTTCCTCCTCAGCCCTTATTGGTTCTCTGCTGCTCCTTGAACAGGTCAAGCAAGCCCCAGCCCCAGGCCCTTTGCAGCTGCTCTTCCTGCTTGCTCAGTAACTCTTTCCAGATGTTCATGAGATTTGTTCTCTGACTGTCTCTATGCAAGTAGAATCTCCTCAGAACCTTCCCTGAAGCACCTTTAAAATACAAATTTGACCCCATTACTGGCTATCCCAAATCTATGTTTTTCTTTTTGTCCTTAGGACTTTCACTTGTCTCTTGTTATGTATTCATTTGTTTATTTTTAATTACCTGCACTCCCCAAGGGAAGATAAGCTCCTCAGGAAGCAAGACTTTGATATTGTGCTGTCTTTCTTGTTCCTGTGACAAGGCATGGCACTGTGATATAATAGCTATTGTTAATTATTATTAATTTTCTTGAACATTTTTGTTTGTTTTAATATTCAGGATGCTACAGAATAATCAGCTAAGACAGGTACCCACAGAAGCGTTGCAGAATCTGCAAAGTCTTCAGTCTCTGTAAGTAGTGATCAAATTGCAAAACGTTCAAATTTGAATTCAGTAAAGCATGGAAGTGTCCAGTTGATTATTTCACTTGTCAGTTTATTGATGGTCATGCCAAATGACCTGTGAGATCCATTTCAGCATCAATTCTTCATTTTCTTATTAATCACTATATGAGGGGGCCCAGTACTGGAGCTTGAGGTTTTGGGGAGCCTACAATCAAAAAGCTTCCTTCATGCACAGTGGTGTCTTGAGGCAAAGCGTCTCTTCCTCAATCCTGTCCGACATTCTCTTAACATTTTTGTTTCTGAATTCAAAAGGAAAATAATACTTTTTAAATAGAAAACATGGATATCACATCTAGATATCTTGACATCTTAAATTTATTTAAGTTTTTAAGTTGAGCTGGTTTGTCATCAGATTTTACTGAGTCAAATAAAGACTATTTCACATTTGGCATAGACATTAGGGATGTTCAAATCAGGAAACTAAGACCTCTCGGCCTGTCCTGGTGCACTTGTACTACTGACCATTTCTACAAACCAAGAGCTTCATCATCACCTTAGCAAGTCTTAGTCACAAATAATCCCACAATCCTCATATAACTTAAATTCATATATTAAACTCTCTCTCTCTCTCTTTGTCTTTCTCTCTCTCTCTCTCTCTCTCTCTCTCTCTATTTCTCCCTATCTCTGCCTGCCTGTTTATACCTCTCTCTTTCTCTCCCTATCTCTGTGGGTCTCTCTGTCTCTGTCTGTTTCTCTCTCTGTCTCTGTTTCTTTCTCTGTCTCTCTGTTTCTCTCTATTTCTCTCTGTTTCTGTTTCTGTGTGTCTCTGTCTGTTTCTCTGTCTCTGTTTCTCTCTCTCTCTGTCTGTCTCTCTCTGTCTCTGTCTCTCTCTGTCTCTGTCTGTCTGTCTGTCTGTCTCTCTCTCTCTCTCTCACACACACACACATATGTGCACACACACACACTTAAACACACAGTACTCCATATAGTCTGATGTTCCCTACTTTGAATCCATGCCTTGTTCAGAGGTTTCCATCCCACCCCCAACACACTGGTTATAACTAACCACTGAGAAAATAAAAATAAATTATTTCTAACAAAAAGATCTTTCTCGGCAGCTACATGTTTTGGAACTTTAACTGGGAGCAATTGTTTTTGGTGATTACTTGGTAAGTCTGTGGTACAGCTATTCTGTTAGGAAATTTTCTCATTAGAATGGGTAAGTGTTTAAAACATATTGCATGAATCCTGATATGCGCAAGTGAAGCATGTACTCTAATAATACACTTGAGGTCATTCTCAGTCAAACAAATGACTCTGATCTTGAATGCTCGGGGAAAGAAATGCATCTTTTAAAGGCAAATGAACATTGCAGTGTGGAGTTGAAATTTTCCACAAAGAATTCATCAGTGAATAGAAGCCATCGGTTAAGAATAACATACAATTTGCTTGATGCTTTTTACTGGGGTGACTCAAAAGAATGGGGAACATGAGATTTGGAGGTGATACTTTCATCCTTTGATTTTTTTTTTTTTTTTAATGAAAGGAAATCTGTGCTTGAGATCATTTTAACCTTTTTTACTCCAGTCAAACAAAATGACTTCCTCGGTTTTCAGCAGTCTATAGATAAACAGGCCCACAAGAGCCCCTTTGTAGCATGGGATGGGCCTGTTGCATTTCCAGGAGCTCCTTAATGACATGACAGTATCACTCCTCTTTTGTTGAAAAGCCTTACCTGAAGGAAAGAAGCAGCAGCTGAGAAGTAGAATAGCCTTACGTTGGGCTCTCTGTAAAGGCACGGGATCTACGGGCTAAAGAGAATTTGAGATAATGGCAGTGGGCAATAAGAACTTCAAACAGCTGGGAGGCAGACAGGAGATAGGAGGATAAGAGTTTGTAACTAAAGCCCCTATCAGCTATAGAAGATCACAAACAGAAGTGAACTCTTTGAGAAAGAGAAAACCATGAATCTTTTGTTCGCTTGAATCGGGTGAGACTTTGATAAAGGTGTTCAGATTTAATTTCTTGCAGTCTAGATATTTACTGTTCACCAGGTGTTTCCAGTGTTTGGTTTCTGATTCCCAAAAAGAATTGTGTTTTGAAACCTTATAAGTGTATAAATATACATACACAAGTGTGTGTTACGGGTGTTCATTGTCTAGTGTGACACTTACCTTATCCAAACTGAAACATCCGGAGACACCCAGCCTCCAGTCGACATTGGATGGTCTCGAGTGGGTTACGTAATGTTTGTCAGGGTTTCTTTTGTCCGGAGCACACAAAACCAGTTTGAGATATGAGGCATTGGCAATGTGTGCTGGTGTGCCACTTTTTCTCACTGATATTTTTTATACTACTTTGATATAAGAAGACATCCAAAAACACTACAGTCTAAAAATGCATTCATTTTCCTACAAATGACTCAAATGTGCCTTTCTTTCTTCATTGTGTATAAAGTCACTTTTTAATTTATCCATTCATCTGTTGATAATTCAGGGTCACTTATGGGGGAATGGACACACCTTGAGACAAAGTGAAATAAATCAGACACACACTCTTAAATCTTAAATACCTGAGGTTTATCTTATATGAGAAACCCAAAGTATAAATAGATGAAAGAGTGAAATAAACAGCAGGTAAAATGAAGCAGGAGGACAGATCTGCAAATGGTAAGGGTCCAATAGGGACAGAAGAAAGGGAAGACAAAGTGAAGGTGAAAAGAATTAAAATGTGCTGTGCATGTGCACCACTTCCCCAAGAAGGATGTAATCATTTCCTCCAAATTTGTACTAATAAAAATAAATTTCAAAAATATTTTGAAGTATTAAAAACATAAATTGAAGCCCAAGTCCTGCAGGCTGTCATGCCTGTTGAGGACGCCTTCTCCCTTGGACGCACAGCAGGCCAGTTTTGGAGGCTTGGGACATAGCAAGCCCCTTTAAAGTTTCACCATTACCTCAGATTTAAAATGTTTAGCTGGATTTGTCCTGCTTCTTTGAAGCAGTTCAAAAAATAAATAAATAAAATAAAAACTTTAGTATTGAATTTAACTGTCATCATAAACACACATCCCACATCCATTCTCTACTACATTCCACGCTCTTCTTCAGTCTTTGTGCTGTCGGCATCAGCGGGAGTAACGGCAAGGGTAGCATCGCCTCCTGCACACATCCGGCACCTGGAAGACTGTTCACCTGCCTTTCTCATCTCGAACCACAGCCAACACTGAGGTGGTCACTTGGCCTCTGTACTGCACAATTCCTTCCTCCATTGTGTTGACTTCGCTCTATTTTTTTCCTGCTTTACTGTTTTTCTTGTGTTGTACATTCACTCTGCAAGAAGCACGCTGCACTTGCCAGGGTCCGTGTGCTCGGCGCCCCCAGGCCTGCCTGGCCCATAACTTTCTGCAGGGTGCTTCTCAATGTTGGCTGCAAAGGATCCTCTGGAAAGTACCAAAACTCCAGCAGCACCCCGGAACTATTACATTCAGCATCTCTGAGGATGGGGCATGAGTCTTGGCATATTTATACTTTAATACTGCATATATACTTCACTGTATCTCAAAGTGAAGATTAGGAAGCTGATGTCTTGCTGCATTCTCTACAATCCATCCTTTGCCTAAGCTGATGCTGTAGTTAGAATATAAAGTTAGGCATTGCCTTGTTTTTCATTGAAAACAGTTCTCATCTGCCCATTAATACCTCTGATAATCTAGGGAAGATAAAGAGGTCACCTGGTACATTTTGCTGCCACTCAGATGTGATCTGTAGACCAGCCACACCAGCACCACCTGCTGTGCAGCACCTGCAGCTCAGGTTGGGCTGTCTTAATACAAATCTTCATTTTAACAAAATCCTAAGTGGTTTGTGTACAAAAATGTATTTACAAAATTAAAATGGTAGGGTTGTGTTGCACTAACCACCTGGTCAAAAAAGTAAAAATGGAGAGCTGCGGAAACAAGTCACGTGCTTTCATGGAAATAGGTCACATGCTTCCATGGCTCCACCCATATAGGCTTGGCTTTATTGAATGTTTTTTTTTTTTAAATGTATTTAGTACAGGGTTTCACTACACAGATCGGACTCATAGTGATTCTCCTGTTTTCGGCTTCCCAAGTACTGATATTACAGGAGCGCGCCACCACGCCCAGTCTCAGTTGCCATCTCAGCGTGTCCTGAGGGCAGGGTCAGCTCGGCATGCTGGGGATTGAACCCTGGTCCCTGCATCTACCTAAGCAGGTGCTTTAGTCCACTGAGCTATCTGGCCAGAACTTGAATGAGTTTTAAGAAACCTGACACATTGCAATTGGTAACATTGCTGTGAGGAAGAGACAAATTGTACTCAAGTTTCAAAGCATTGATTTTCTACTGACTCCATATAAACCAAAAACTATATTCATAATGAAAGCACCTAGGTACGTTTGTGTTTTTTAACTCGCCCCGATGCTTACATGATGCTTACCGATTGCTGAAGAATAGAGTTCAGGACCATGTGCCAGAGGCCAGCAGTAGCCCAGAGCCTGACCCTGTGCTGTGTGTACGCTTGGCTTCTGACATGCCAATGGCCGCCCAGACACCAACTGGATACGTTGTAATGTAATCAAATGTAACCTAATTTCCTTTCTGTTTTTGGATGGGAATGAGGAATGTAATCAGAATTCACAGTGAATTATATTACACCAAGAAACTTTTGGCATTGTAGACATTTAAAGACTAGGGTCAGATTACAGCGATTTGATGGGAACTCAAAACCTAACCCTCCCATACCCTCTTACCCTTGTATTAATAGTTTAAAAAATCAATCTATGAAAAGATTGATTAACTGCCTGACATGTGATGGTCATTAATAAATTTCAAACATCTCACTGTCATTTGTGCAGTTCAGGATGACCAAACAATTACACATTCATGTTTGTCCAATTAACCAAAGAGTTAGTGGTTCTCCTTCCAAGTGTGCACTAGCGAAGCTAATTGTGGAATATGCATAATCACAAGACAGTGGTTGGCA